GTTCTCAGTTGGCTGTCCTGATCTAGTCCCTGTGGTCCACTTCAGAACATTTTTTTTTAATGTATGAGATTTTTATCTGCTGGTTTTCTCTTTATTGAAGGGATTTAAATTTTTTTAAAAACTTGGTTTGGGAAAATCTTAAAAAGTAGGGAGAATAATATCGTGTACCATGGTGTACTTTGCCCAGCTTCAAAAATTATCAACGTATGGCCGATCTTGTTTCACCTATACTTTCACTTTCCTTTCAAGATTACTTGGAAGTCAGTCCCATTCTTTGTATTATGTATTCTATAAAGACTTCAGTATGTTGCAGAGATGCCAGTGTAATGCTCAGAAGTAGTCTGTCTTCCTGCAGTCACTGCTGGGAACCCTGCTGCCTAGAGCATTCTCACAAATGGCTAAAGCCTGGTGGATTCTCCTCATTGTCTCTTTGGAAAAGACCACCCTATTCATCTCTGTTATGGCCACAGTTTGACACATAGTACATATTCAGTATCATTTGTTGAATGAAATACATTCGTTTCTGTAATCTTCGTTATGAAAAGCAGGTTATATTTTTGGATATGGTATGGAATTAGGTGGAACTACAGCTGACCTGTCAGAATAGAACTGGTTTCTGAATCTTTATTACATAGTGAATTTTCAGAGCAAGAGTCTATATTCTCATTTTAAAAGGGAAAGCAAATGATTTCCCAGCCCATTGAAAACTCCAACTAATTTCTCTAAGTGTTACCCATACAGTCTTAAATGGGTTAGATATCTTTATGTTGTTGCCCCAAACAAACAGGGCTCTTCAGGACCCTGAGTTTTTGAGGCCATCAAGTTAAGGTTCCCTCCTTGGCCTCCCTCCCCTTCTTCCCTTTCTTCCTTGCCTGGAGGGGTCCATCAGGCACCCAAGGAAATAAGACACTGTACAGGAACTAGGAACACTGAGAGCTGAAAAAGCTACTTTGTTTAGTAGGGCAAATAGCAAGATAAAGTGAATTTCTTTCAGCTCTTTGCTGTAGTAGAGGAAAAGAGTTCAGTTGCTTTTGATGACTAAAGTGGCAGGCACACATAGTTGCTCACATAGTTGCCGTGGGCATCCTAGACTCTTGTTCTTTCTTCACTTGGCTTCCACATCCAGTTGCTGTAAGCCATGTGTAGTCTTCTTTCTCTCTTCTGTTCTCTGAGCAATCTGTTCTTCTCTCTTTCCATGGCTGCTCCACAGTCAGATAACCATCATGTCACCTGCATGATTGTTACAGATACCTTATGGTTTCCCTCTCCCTCCGGCTGTTTATGAGACTCACCTAGCACCTGAAGTGACCCACTCCAGAATAATGAAATCATGACGGAGAGGAGAGCTACCCAAAATGTAGGACTTTAATTTCTCTGAAAGCCTCATTAATTCTCTTACTTCTGGGCATTTAAATGCAGTGTTCTTCGTGTTTGGAATGTTGGTTTTTCCCTGTTAAGACCTCTTCACCTTGGTGGTATTCCCATTTTTCCTTCAGGTTTCAGGTGAGACCTCCGGAAACCCCCCTTAGTGTTGTCCAGTAGAACTTTCTGTGATGATAGGAAGTGTTCTGTACTGTTCACAGTGTTTTCCTGTGCTGTCACTAGCTTCCCAGCACTTAAGCTGTAACTCGTGTGACTGAGAAATTGCATTTTAAATTTTATTTAACTGTAGGTGTTAGGTGCCCTAACTTGTGTCCTTACACAATACTGTGTGTGTTCCCCCATCATAACACTATATTATATATTTTCCTAAATTTTTATTATTAAACATTTCACAAAGTTGAAAGAATTTTTTAGTGTACATTCCTGTATCCGTCACCTAGATTCTACCATTAATACAAATACCATACTTGGTTTTAACACATATCCATCTGGGCCTTTCTCTATCCATCCATTAATTCTTTTTTAAAAATACATTTCAAAATAATACCAGTACTCATTCCCCTAAATACTTTTTTTTTAAACATTTTATTTATTTATTTGACAGAGAGAGACAACGAGAGAGGGAAAACAAGCAGGGCAAGTTGGGGAGGGAGAAGCAGACTCCCCGCTGAGCAGGGAGCCCGATGCGGACCTCCATCCCAGGACCCTGGGATCATACCTGAGCCGAAGGCAGATGCTTAATGGCTGAGCCACCTAGGCACTCCTCCCCTAAATACTTTAACATGCATATATCATCAACAGCTTTTTTGGATGTAAAGTTTATGTATAATTGTCCATGTTTTAAGTATCTGTTTGCTAAGTTTTGATAATTGCACATCCCAGTGTACCCCATACCTCTATCAAGATTAGAACATTATCATCACCCCGGGAGTTTCTCTCTTGCCCCTTCCCAGTGTGTCTTTTCTCTCAATTTCCCAAGAGATGACTGTTCCGAAGATTTTTTTTTTTTTTTCTGCAGTGTCCATTTAACACCCTGAATAGCTTAACATCACGCTCACTATAAAAGAGAAATGCTTGGCTTCTTAGTTTCCATATGCACCCTTCTATACACATTCAATTAAATTTTGTGTTTGATTTTCAGCTAGATCAGCTCTGTGGCTACCCAAAATAGGAGATTGTTTTAGGGCTGCCGTGGAAGCTCACAGAGGGATACTTGAGCTGAGGGTTCAAGCTAGCAGGTTCTTTCTCTCTGTAAGTGCTCTAGTGCACTTAAGAGAATCCCCCCCCCACCGCAGTCCTTACCTTCCTCACTACTGTCATTGGGATCAAGTGCAGCAGCCTTGGTTTTCCAGTTAGCATGTGATTACTGTCAACCACAAATGGTATCGTGATTAATTCTGATTCTAATACCTGCTATGGATTATTGACATCTTATTTCTAATTGACAGTGAGCTCAGCACTGCACTCAAGAGGCTCAAGGGCATGACCAAACCAGTATCTTTGTGGGTCTGTCTGCTAGGACCACTCCCCAGTGCCAACAGTACATAAGTCTGGGTCCATTCAGGAGACAGAGACCACAGAGTAATTTAAAAGAAGGAAGTTTAATATAAAGAATTGTTAAGTTATGATAGGAGAATAACTATAAAGATGTAAACAAAGCTCTACAGGATATTCTATGACTAACAGATGGTCCTCAAAGGAGGGCCAACTGAGAGGGGATCCCCCTACTCAAGTCTGGGGTTTAGATCTTATTAGACAAGTTATAGGTGCAACCTAAAGTTGCTGATAGAAAAATTTGTTGAGTTGCTGGGACTAGAGCTGGTCCACTGTAGCTGAGCAAGCAGGAAATAACCTTCTCAGGTATAGGTGAGCCCGGGTTGGTTGGCTTGTGAGTATGGGAAGTTGGGGTGCTGTTGTGGGCATGCAGCCTGGAGTGTATGATGTCCTCATTGGGAGATAGTGCCCAGTCAAGCCTGCCAGGTTGCTGAGGGACTGGACCTGTGGGCATCTGGCTAGGTTAGGGCACCACTGGATATCCTCCCATTTGCACCATGCAGCAGGAGCCAGAAAAAAATAAAGACAGCAACAAGATCCAGAAAGCGTCCTTCCTGCAATGCCCCTTTGGTACATTTAACTGTGACAGAGTGTAATATTGTGCTCAGTATAAGGAAGAAATGCTTAAAAACCAGTCCATTTTTAAAGCCAGGTACTGATGGATGAATTCAGAGCAGAGAAAGTAGCACATTGGTAATTGTCGTAGACAGTCAGATCATGTTATTCTACTCACAATTCCTCAGTAGCTCCCCATTTTACCCAGAGTGAAACCAAAGCCAGACACAGTCAGGCCCTCTACTTGACCTCATCTTATGGTACTGTCTTCCTGTTGCTCTGGGGTAGCCATCCTGGCCTCTGCTGGCCTATCTCAGTTTCATGCTGCAGTAGGTTTGTATCTTGGAACCATGTTTCTGGAACATGACCTGCCATGCTCCTGACATAGGGCCCTTGCACTGGCTGCTCCTTCTTGGAAAGCTCTTTTTCTTCGTATCTGCGTGGTGAGTTCCTTACTTTCCTTCAAGTAAGTCTTTGCTCAGATGTCAGTTTCTCAGTGAGGCCCACCCTTGACCACCTTGTTTAACACTGAAAGCCCCAGCACTCCTGATGTCCTCACATGGCTTGACTTTTTCCATGATACTTTTTACCTGCCATGCTATGTGATCTGTGTATTTCTGAAGTCTGTCTCCTCCCTCCATAATGTCCAGTGCTGTCCATGGCGGAGGTTTTTGTTTGTTTTGCTCACTTATCCCAAATACCTAGAATAGTGCCTGGTGCATTGTAGATGCTCAATAAGTACGTGAATATTAGAGTGGACTTGATATACTCATTAAAATGAAATTCTGAGGGAGCCTGGGTGGCTCAGTTGGTTAAGCGTCTATCTTCAGTTCTGGTCGTGATCCCGGGATCCTGGGATCGAGCCCCCACGTCTGGCTCTCTGCTCAGTGGGGAGCCTGATTCTCCCTCTCCCTCTGCCTGCCACTCCCCCTACTTGTGCTCTCTTTCTGTCAAATAAATCAGTAAAATCTTTTAAAAAAATGAAATTCTATTTTAACAAAGCAATTATGATTTTGTTGTTTGACACATTTTTACTACTACTGTGTTATGCAGTTTCCCTTATATTTTGGAGACTGGTTACATTCTTTTGATTGACCAGGGTGATAATGCGTATATTTTGGGGTCACTTGTACTCTGTAAAACGAAGCACTGTGCTTTTTTGTTACCTTTTCTATGTCACTCTTTAGCTTCTGTGACTCTTCTTATCTGAGCAGATTCCTGAAGCAGATAACTATATATATATTTTAAAGATTTTATTTATTTATTTGAGAGACAGGGAGAGAGTGCAGGTGATTGGGGGGCAGGGCAGAGGGAGAGGAAGAAGCAGACTCCCCACTGAGCAGGGAGCCCAACACAGGGTGATCCCAGGACCCTAGGATCATTGACCCGAGCTGAAGGCAGATGCTTAACCAACTGAGCCACCCAGGTGCCCCGTATTTTTAACATTTTATTCTTCAGAATTAAGTCTTGGTCACGGAAAGTTAACTTATTTTTGTTGTTGTTTTTAGGTGCTGAATGTGGAGTAAATGCAGATGTTGAGAAACATCTTGAATTGGGCAAGAAATTACTTGCAGCTGGACAGCTAGCTGATGCTTTATCTCAGTTTCATGCTGCAGTAGGTTTGTATCTTGGAACCAAAAACCCTCAGGGGCCATTCTAGTGAATTATAATTAACAGCTCCTTCTTTGGATAACATTTAAAATAAACATTATTTAATGTTTAAGGAAAACATTTAAAAATATTTACAGGATTCTGGGTGAAATAGATTAATAAAATAAATGCACAACACTTAAATGTGTATGTATCTAACACGAGAGAATTTTCCAGGTAACTTAAGACTTTCTACTGTAAGTACCAAGAATAATTCAAGGTAATTTTGACAGAAAGCTTTTCTCACTGTATTATATAGTTTTTTGCCCTCCTAGAAGATTTCACTGAAGACGGTTTAATTTTCTTGATGACTTGAGAACATTGGTATAATTATTTTACTTTGGGGCCTTTGGGGGATCCTCTTGTCCATTGCCTCTTCCGTGTTGGCCAAACTTCCTCCATCTCTTAGGCTGTTCTGTTGCTCACTTGTATTTGTCTGTAGTGTCAGCTGTCTTTGCACCTTTCAGTCTGTTGGGATTGAGAGAAACGAGATGGCCACAATAAATAGGTTCTAAGTGAGGGCTTAAAGGATTTTCTTACGAGTCACTGCGTACACTTTTGTGCTAGGACTTTTTGGCATTGACTTTTTGAATCCTTTTTTAAATTTATGCATTCTCACCTTTATTTGGGATGGTTAAGAGTGACAAGTTAACTGCGGGGTAATGAGGTGGGGTTTTTTTGTTTTTTGCATATTTTTAATAAGATACAGTTCTGCTCACCAGAAAAATTATCATCCTACTCTTAATAATTTACTTTGTAAACAGAACATGATTAGATTTTGGTTTGGCAATATTATTCTTCATGCTGTTTTGAAAACTCAGATTTTTATTACTGGTGTTATTAGCTCTCTGGAATAATAGGAAACCTAAATTTTAATCTTGGCTATGCCACTTGATAATCCTATGATTATTGGTCAAGTTGTGTAAGTAAATTTTGGCTTAAACAAGTGACCTGCATATTCCTAGCAGTTTTCACTGTGCTACCCAAAAAAGGATTTCTTTGTGAAGGTTAGGTGAAGAATAACGTATATAAAGATCTTTTTGAAAATAGGGTACAATAACACATGTAAGGTATGTGGAAATATAATTTTTATGTCTCTGAAAATTAAGACTTTTAAAAAACAGACTTGATGTGTTAATAGGATTTTCTTAACTATGTGAAGTTTCTATTAGGAAATTTTTTCATTTTGGCAATTAGCTCACCTTGGGAAGTGGTGGGTAATTGGCACAACAATTCACACAAGTTACTTTTCAGTAGAGACCATATACTATGTGACCATGTCATTACTGAGGCCACACTTTTCTGGTGATTTGAACTGTCTTCAGTGCTGCAGCATAGTAATGAAAAAAGATTTCCATTATTGTCTTAGATAAAGCATGTCTTAAAAAAATACTGATTCTTCCCTAGTAGCGCAAGAATATTTGCAGAAACTTATACCTCCTACCTACTTTACAGTTTATTATTTGCTTTCTTTAATCTCACATTTAGCAGAAACATTAGGGCCTGTAATATTGTTACAGTAGTTTAAAATGACTGCCTGTTTTTCTTTAGCTTCAGTGCCATACAAGAATTCTTGAGATGTCTCTTTCCCAAAATACCCAATAAAATGTTGTTGTAGTCGCTGAAAGACGTAAATTAGTAAAGCTAGAACATGGTAATTGATTTGTGGAATTCACTGAAGGTAGAAAGCGAAGCACTACTGTGTATTCAGAGCTCAGAGCAGTGTCCTTCTGTCTGTCATGATTTGGCGGGTTGCAGCCATTCTCAGCATGGTGCCCACGTCATACTTTCTGAGGAGGACCTGTGTAGTTCGGGACATTCGTCATTTTAGTTTGTGTAAAACACTGATCATAGCCAACTTCAGAAAATAAAGTTTAAATTGGATATGACGACACTGTGTGAGAGATAGTAATGGGGGGGTGGTGTCACGGTCCGTTGACTCTCTTATGAGATGTGTATGTGTGTGTATCAGAAAAGAGCTTTAGAGCCTCCGTTTCAATGGTCTCCTTTACCCAACATCAGATTTTATAATGGCCCCACTGGCTGCTTCGGGCAGCGCAGTGAGTTAGTGAGCGCCTCTCCCCAGCAGTGAGCGCGTCCGGGCTCCTGCCTGGTAGACGGGCCCGGCGTGCGCTCCCCGCTGCGGGCCGAGGGGCTGTGCTGTGGGGAAACGGCACTCGCGTCTTCATGCCTTGCTTTACGCGGACTGTATAAAGAGCTCATTAAATGCTTACTCATTTATTATGCTTCCCAACTGCTCAGTTTTGTGATGTACTTATTTCTTTAACTTCTGTGATTAGAAACTGATGGTAGGGTTTGTAATAGAATTTGGCTAGCAGCCTTGTGAGTTATCAACGGATTGTTTTTTTATTATAATGCTATAGTTGACATTATTTATGGTTGTGGCACCCTTCCATTTTCATTTTTGAAAAATTACTAGGTGCATTTTGAAAATTGGGCTTGGTATGTTTTATGATTACCTTTTTAACACAGTAAAAGGTTTATGTATTAAAACTCAGTAGCAGCACAAATGGTTTCTACAGTATGGTACAGATCTATCAGTGATTTGATATGAAGTTTTTTCGTATCTGGCAAATGAATATTTTTTGGCAGGAGTTTTAAAATTTGGAACTGATGGAAACATTCTTGATCTGTTGGAAACCGTGATTTAGGGAAGAATGTTGATTACCACTTTCCACTTAGTCTTCTGAAACAGTGGCACTTACCTCAGTCCTCAGTGTTACGAAGCAGTCAGACACAAGTTTTGTTTAGAGATCTCTCATTAGAGAAACTGCAGTGCAGTGTGAAAGATGCCCTCTTATTCCTGCAGCATGATCTTACGGAGGTAATGAATTCTAGGATCTGAAATCACTTTTTTGATAGACTTAACAGAATGTCTTAGCTCTCTATATCTGGCAGGAATGAATGTCTAAGGCGGTGGATTAAACGGTGGGCATTTCTGAAATGATGGGTTTCCCCATTTGCTTGGTAAGAAAATCAGCATCCCATTCACAATTTGCTAAATCAAAAAACAAAATCCATGTCTACATTTATTTGTCACTTAAACATATCATGATGCTTTCTTACCACATTTGTACCTCATTTGTGAAATGGGGATGGGCATTACTAGTCACATCTAGACAGAAGGAAACAAAGAGTATTTAGTAACTTTCCAGACGTCACATTCTAATTCAAAAGATTGTGAACTTCCTAGGGATAGGTAGAATCTTAGTATTATTGTTATTATCATTATTATTATTTGTATTGAAGTGTAATTAGCATACAGTGTTATATTAGTTTCAGTTGTACAACATTGATTTCACAGTTCTATACATGATCCAGTGCTCACCACAATAAGTGTAGTCATCTGTCACCATACAGTGTTATTACAATATTGTTGACTATATTCCCATGCTGTACATTTCATCTCTGACTTATTTATAAAATGACTAAGTTTGTGCCTCTTAATCCCCTTTATCTATTTTACCCATCTCTCCACACCACCCCCAGAACCACCAGTTCTCTGGATTTAAGAGTCTGTTTTTTTGCTTATCCTGTTTTTTAGATTCCACATATAAGTGAAGTCATATGGAGGGCGCCTGGCTGGCTCAGTTGGTAGAGCATGTGACTCTTGGTCTTGGGGTTGTTAGTTCGCATTCCATGTTGGGTGTAAAGAGTACTTAAAGATAAAATCTTTAAAAATGAAATAGATGAAGTGGCGCCTGACTGGCTCAGTCAGTGGAGCATGCAACTCTTGATCTTGAGCCCCACATTGGGTGTAGAGATTACTTAAAAATAAAAAAAAAACTTAAAAAAAAAAAATAAGTGAAATCGTATGGTATTTGTCTTTTCTGACTTATTTCACTTAGTGTAATACCCTCTAGGTCTACCCATGTGTTGCAATGGCAAGCTCTCATTCTTTTTTATGGCTGAGTAATATTCCTCTGTGTGTGCACGTGTGTGTATCAGCCACCATCTTAAGGATATGCAGTATCCTATTTAGTCATTATTTTATTTATTTTTTATTTTTTAAAAGATTTTAATTATTTATTTGACAGAGAGAAGCACAGCGAGAGAGGGAACACAAGCAGGGGGAGTGGGAGAGGGAGAAGCAGGCTTCCCGCCGAGCAGGGAGCCTGACGTGGGGCTCGATCCCAGGACCCTGGGATCATGACCTGAGCCGAAGGCAGACGCTTAACGACTGAGCCACCCAGGCACCCCTTAGTCATTATTTTAATCTCTGGTAGGTACTCAGTAAAAGTTTGAATGAAGCGGTAGAGCTGGGTTAGCTGGGAGCAAGAATAAACATTTTTTGTATCTAGGCAAGGGTGGTGGTCTTTCTGCTTTCCACTGCCACTGTTTACATCATTTATAATTGGCTTTCTGATGTATTTTCTCCAGTTAGTAGTTGTGGGTTTTTTTTATTATGGCTAATTTTCTTATATTTGAGTTGTTTGGTAGTTTGAGGATTAGGATGAACTCTCATGTTCACATTTTTTTTTTAAGATTTTATTCATTTATTTGAGAGAGAGAACACAAGCAGGAGGGAGGGCCAGAGGGAGAGGGGGAAGCAGACTCCTCGCTGAGCGGGGATCCTAGGTACCCTGAGATCATGACCTGAGCTGAAGGCAGACACTTAACTGACTGAGCCACCCAGGCGCCCCTTATGTTCAAATTTCTAATAAACTAGTATAACAATTTGAATGACCTGTTTTCAAGTGAAATCTAATATTTCTGTATGCAGACTTGTGAGTATTTTAAATAATGAACTGCATTGTGTATTGAATGGATAACAGGATAAGTGATTATTTTCAAGGTTATCGGATTTTGTATTATGAGACACTAAGCATGAATTTCTTAAACCAGCCCTTGTTCAGTTGCTGCTTCGTGCACAGTGATACGGGAATGGACATGAGTTCTAGGAACTGTTGGTCTTTTAAGATGAAGACACAGGGACAGCTATTTTGTTTGGCCATTCAGGTGACCCCATACAGCTAAGAACATTGATTCTTGATTCACACGTTGAGCCATTATCATTTGATTCCTCGTTTTTGTAGGTTTATTGTTATAAATTGGGGTTCTAATTCCCACTTCATGTCTTAAAAAATACCTAAAAACTGAAGAATAAAGCAAATGAAAGTGAATGCTCCAGAATTATTTTATATAGACATTTTGAATATATGTGTAATCAAATACTTAATACAAAAGCTGTGTCATATATAATCCTCCTTGGAGGTTTTTCTGCATAGACTGAAATGGTCAGTTTTTTCCCAAAGTGAAGTCCAATGCAATTTTTAGTGAAAGTGCCTTCTTGATAAAATGCCCAATGTTAGCACTAAGCATTCTTCTTTTCTTGAAAGAACTAGATACAGAGTTCAAAATAAGCAACATCTGTGTTTGCAAATCCATTGCTAATTTCATGAGAGAATGATTTGAATATTCTGGTGAGGCACATCTCTTTAAGAGCTATGTCCGTTCTCTCGAATCCCGGAGTGGGGTGGCTGGCAGGGAAAAAGGGAGCCGTGTGACCAGTTGTTTGCTTTGCCTCCTGAATGGAAAGTACTCCAAATGGAAAACTTTCTCGGACCAGTTAGGTCGGAATCTATGAGCAGCTCCTCTTCCAAAAGCAAGTGACAGCGGAGTTTGCCAGACTCTCCGTGCCAGCTCGGGAGGGCTGCTGGGACCAGAGGGCAGGCGATGGAGCAGAGACCTCAGCCCTCGCCGTCTTTGGTCTCCTCTGACAAAAACCTCTTCTGGGCAGAACAGAGTGTGGCAACAAACCATTTGTTCCCCAGGTTTACAGACCTGGCTCTGGAAGGGAGCCACATTCATCCGGAGGCTGGGAAATGTTTTCCTTGGTCTGTGGCTGGGCTGATGTTGTTGTGCTTCCTTCTTGTCCACAGCAGGATGGCACTAGGGAAAGCAAACAAAATAGAAGCCTTTCTCGATGAGAAGGACCCAGGAATCGAGGCCCGAAGCAAGGGAGGAGCTTCTGGGGGAGGGTAGGGGTGAGGAGAGCCTGTGGGGAAGCTGGCTAGCTCCAGGGACCTGCCAAGTATTATTATTACAGTGTCCTACGGAAATGAGAGAAAGACCAAACAAGCTGTGTCCGTTCTGACTTCTTCTAGTCCCTTGCTTGTCCTAGGCAGGTCTCAGTGTTGGCCTTGATTGTGGTGATCAGGAATTTGTTTCCATTTCCTTTTATTTGAGTCCCTGTGGGCCAGGTGATAAGGGAGACAAAAGTGAATTTACTCAAGGAATTTATTTTCTCTAGCTTGAGGTGTATGTATAAGTAATGTCAGAGGGAGTGGTAAGTGTTATGGGCATAGTAAGAGAGGTATGCTGTATTACAGAATGCTGTGGAAATTTAGGGAATGGAAGGTATATTTTCACATGTGTAATCAAATAGGTCATTTAAGCTGTGTCTCAGAGATCGAGTAGGATTTGGACATATGAAGGTGACAGTGTGTGATGTAAACTCCAGGCCTTAAATCATGTAATTTCTAGTATTTATTTTTTGCTTAGTGTAAATAAGTCATGAAAGTACTCCATGTTCATTGTGACACATTTTGGAGTATGTATATACAGTATAAAGAAGAAAACCCGATCTGTCTGCCCAGGTAGCTGCTGTTGACCAATGGTGAATTTCCTTTTCCGTTCAGAGGCAGTCACTTAAGCGTCAGAAATCCTTAGGTATCAAATCATTCTTATGGCCAGACCCACATGTTTAATTCATTGCACATTCTAAGTTGAATATGAACTGAACCTAAAAATAATCTATATCATGTATGCTCTAAGTGTAGTTACTCTGTTTCTTACTTTTTCTTCAGGCTAATTACAGTCTTTTGTAGGAAATACCCTATATACAGCTGCTGACAGTGCTCCTTTTCCCTTGTCTTCCAAGCAAAATTGACCAGGAAAGAAATTTCAGTGATGCTTAGCTGTGATATATGGGTTGTTTTTGGTTTTTGTTTTAGATTTGAAAAAAAAAATTAAACTTTTTTTCTTGTTAAAATGCCCAGTTCTCTTGGTTTTTCAAAAATATAACTACAATAAAATATGTAGTACAATATAATGCGTATTTCAAAATGTACCATTTTGACATTTGTGAGTGTACGAAGTTGTGGCACTAAGTGCATTGATATTGTTGTACAGCCCGCACCCCCATCCGTCTCCAGAGCTTTTTCATCATCCCAAACTGAAACTCTGTACCCATCGAGCAGTTGTTCCCCATTTCTCTCTGTCTGCGTTTCTCTCCTTCCCTCTTTTTTCCTTTCTTTTTATAATAGCCATCTTAATGGATGTGAAGTGGTATATCTTGGTGTGGTTTTGATTTGCATTTCCCTAATGATTAGTGATGGTAAACATCTTTTCGTGTGCTCTTGGCCATTTGTACACCTTCTTTCGTACGTTGTATAGCCTACTCTCTCCTCCTGGTCCACCTTTGCCCAGCAGTACTTCAGGTAGTTTAATGCCACTAACAACTGCTCAAAACCAGGATTTTCAATGATTATATACTATCCTGCCATACAGATTCCCATTTGTCATGTTTTTCAAATGATAAGACCTTCAGGGGTAGAACTTTCGGAGAGTTTTAGTTGTAAATCTTACAATGATGGAACATCTGTGTGCATAAATAAATGTTTATTTGTTTAAGACACATGGCTGGATTTGGTCAAGAACATACATGTTTCAGAATTGCTTTCTAGAAGGCCTGTTTGGCAGCACGAGGTTTGCTTCTAATTGTAGGCACTGCGCAGAGTGGAATTAGCTCAAAACCTAACGTATCCATCTGTTTTCCTTCTTTCAAATGTTGTTAACTCAGTTAGTCCTCTCATTTCCATTCTCCTCCTTTGTCCTAAGATTTGTACCTTTATTTCTTCACTGCCATTTTAGTTGGAATTTGTGAGGGAGCAGAGATTGCACTTTTTTTTTTTAATTTTTTTTTTTAAGATTTTATTTGCGACAGAGAGAATGAGAGACAGCATGAGAGGGAGGAGGGTCAGAGGGAGAAGCAGACTCCCTGCTGAGCAGGGAGCCCGATGTGGACTCGATCCTGGGACTCCAGGATCATGACCTGAGCTGAAGGCAGTCGCTTAACCAACTGAGCCACCCAGGAGCCCTGCACTTTTTTTTTTTTTTTTAAAGATTTTTATTTATTTGAGAGAGAGAGTGCGAGTGAGCATGAGCCAGGGGGAGGGGCAGAGGGAGAGGGAGCCTGATGCGGGGCTCAATCCCAGGACCCTGGGATCATGACCTGAGCCGAAGGCATACGCTTAACCAGCTGAGCCACCCAGTTGCCCCGAGATTGCATATTTACTATGTCAGTTTAATTGGAAGTCTATAATTTTCTAAAGTCCTATGAATAAGGCATAGTCACATTCTCAATCAGTATTTTACTTAAGGAAATTTTGGCAAAGACAAAGACTGAATTGCATACTTATAGAAGTTATGAGTTGAATATAGTTAATATTTTAACCCAGAGGTTGGCAGACTTTTTCTTTAAAGAGCCAGATAGTGAATTCTTTTCAGATAATGAATATTTAAGCTTTGTAGCCATATAGTCTCTGTGTGCATATTTTTTTATTTTTATTTTTTGGCAACTCTTTAAAAATATAAAAGTATTCTTTTTTTTTTTAAAAGAATTTATTTATTTGATATAGAGAGAGAGGGAACACAAACGGGGAGCAGCAGAGGGAGAGGGAGAAGCAGACTCCCCACTGAGCAGGGAGCCTGATACGGGTAAGACTGATGAATCACAGACCTGTACCCCTGAAACAAATAATACATTAGGTCACGAGCCCTAGGATCATGACCTGAGTTGAAGGCAGACGCTTAACTGACGGAATCAGCCAGGCGTCCCAGTCCTGTTCTGGCTTTATTTGCAGTGATCTTGCTACTCAACATGATGCATTATTGATGAAGAAATTCTTTTTTTTTTTTTTTAAGACTTTATTTTAGAGAGAGAGCACTCAAGCAGGTGCAAGAGAAAGAGCAAGCGGGAGGAGGGGCAGAGAGGGAGGGAGGGAGGGAGAAGGGAGAGACTCTCAGGCAGACTCTGTGCTGAGCCCAGAGCCCTATATGGGGCTCAATCCCACAACCCTGAGATCATGACCTGAGCCAAAACCAGGCGTTAGATGCTTAACCGACTGAGCCACACAGGTGCCCCTCCTTAATACCTTTCTTAAGAGAATTGCAAACTCAAGTACTGTTCAGGTTATTTGGGTTTTGAATAAATTACCAAGAGCCAATACTTACTATTTTAATTTTCAGATGGTGACCCAGATAACTATATTGCTTACTATCGGAGAGCTACTGTCTTTTTAGCTATGGGCAAATCAAAAGCAGCACTTCCTGATTTAACTAAAGTGATTGAATTGAAGATGGATTTCACTGCGGTAAGTGCATCTAAACTTTCTTTAAAGGAGAACTTATGGGAATTTGGAAGAGGTAATTTGTCTTTTAAGGTGAGGACCAGCCTGCTAGGCATAGCTGGAGGACAGAGAAAGCAGCTGTGGTGTAGAGGACTGGGCAATAAGAAAAACTCACAGTTTCTGCAATCAAAGGTCTGTGTGAAAAGAGGAACAGTGGGTGCAGCCTCTGATTTTTAGAAGCTTGGCAGTGGTGTTAGCTTTGTGGTTTAGAAAGACCTCTTAATCTCAGGAAACAAACAGAGGGTTGCTGGAGTGGAGGGGGGTGGGAGGGATGGGGTGGCTGGGGGATGGACATTGGGAAGGGTATGTGCTATGGTGAGCACTGTGAATTGTGTAAGACTGATGAATCACAGACCTGTACCCCTGAAACAAATAATACATTATATGTTAAAAAAAGAAGATAGTAGGAAGGGAAAAATAAAGGGGAATCGGAGAGGGAGACGAACCATGAGACTATGGACTCTGAGAAACAAACTTGAGGATTCTAGAGGGCTCTAGGATGGGTTAGCCCGGTGTTGGGTATTAAAGAGGGCACGTATTGAATGGAGCACTGGGTGTTATACGCAAACAATGGATCATGGAACAGTACATCAAAAACTAATGAAGCAATGTATGGTGATTAACATAACATAATAAAATTTAAAAAAAGCTGTTGAATTAAAAGGCTGTCAGGTGACTGATAATAGTTCCAATTAAGGCTGTAGCAGGAGGAATAAAGAAAAGGAGATAGGTCAGTTAAGCAGTGGTTTGTGGTGAGGACACAGTCGTGAATTAGACTGATCCTCCCCTGCACCCAACACAGAGGCTTCAGAAATGGAGGAATTGATAGTCTAGTGGGATATCCTGATGACTGGGAGGTCAGCATAATGGCTTAAAATAATAGGATAGGTTAGATGGTTTCAAAATTAATTTGGTGACTCATTTATTGTTTATATCTTGCCATATTCCAAAAAGGACTAGGGATAACTGATTAGGTGTGGGTGAATGTTTGGTTTGAAATATTGTTTTAGGATGGAATTCCCAAATGTCAAAAGTTTTTTCTGTTACTTTACCTAGCTAAGCACAACCTTTCACAAAGGTTAAGTAGTTCATTTTCCTAGTATTATAGTAGCTATTAGGTAGTTGAAGTGGCTTTCATCTTGCTTTTTATGTGTGTTGATGCACTTAACAGAGGATTAGGGACATTTTTATGTATTGTAAAAGTAATATATACGTTTTAGTGGACTATCAATGTATTTTCTGTCTTATGGTCACGTTGGTCATCAGAGAGTTGGTATCCTTAGAAGAGCAAAGGGTTGTGCAAGCATCACCACTGTCTAGTTCCAGAACACTTTCGTCACCCCCAAAAGAAATCTAGTACCTATTAGCAGCCCCTCCCCATTTATGCCCTGGCCTTTGGCAACCACGTATCCTTCTGTCTGTATGGATTTACTTATTTGGACATTTCATATAAATGAAATTATACAGTGTGTGGCCTTTTGGGTCTGATCTTTTTCACTATGCATATTGTTTTCAGGGTCCATCCATGTTGTAGCCTGTGTCAACACTTCATTCCTTTTTGTTTAGATAATATTCCACTGTATGGATAGATCACATTTGCTTACTGATTTATTAGTTGGTGGGAGTTTGGGTTGTTGCCACTTTTTAGCTATTGCTATGAATATTACATGTACAAGATTTTGTATGGACACCTATTTTCAATTTTGGGGGATATAGCACAAAAAGTATTTTTAAGAAAGCATACTTTAATAAAAGTAATACACATTCAATGGTTCCAGGAATTGTTCTCAAGAGTGCCTTTGTCAAGTGGACATTGGAAAAATAAATATTTCATTAATGCTTTATTAGCGCATTTGGTTTTATTCTTTGTGCTTAAAGAAAATTTGGAAATGCATGGTACTCGGAACACCTTTTCTTTTTTCTAGGCAAGATTACAGAGAGGTCACTTATTACTCAAACAAGGAAAACTTGATGAAGCAGAAGATGATTTTAAAAAAGTGGTAAGTTCAGTTTGTATTTGGTTTTATGAAGATGTTGAACATCTTTATGAAGACGAGTGAATTTATGGGACTTTTTATAGTAAGACATTTAGCAATAACTTTATAGCTAAAAGGGAAAATCATCTGATTTGTGTATATAAAAATCACAGTTTCTGAATTAATACATAGTGACTGACATGAGGGAATCACTTTATTTTTTTTTTTTAATTTTTTAATTTTTAATTTTTAATTTTTAATTTTTTTTTTAAAAGATTTTATTTATTTATTTGCCAGAGAGAGAGATAGCAAGAGCAGGAACACAAGCAGGGGGAGTGGGAGAGGGAGAAGCAGGCTCCCCACCAAGCAGGGAGCCCGATGCGGGACTCGATCCCAGGACCCTGGGATCATGACCTGAGCCGAAGGCAGACACTTAATGACTGAGCCACCCAGGTGCCCGGGAATCACTTTTAATAGTTGGAAGATAAAATATGTGGAAAGAGTATATAATTTTTTTTTAAAGATTTTATTTATTTGAGAGAGAGAGAGAGAGCATGAGAGAGGAGAGGGTCAGAGGGAGAAGCAGACTCCCACTGAGCAGGGAGCCCAACATGAGGCTCGATCCCAGGACCCTGGGATCATGACCTGAGCCGAAGGCAGTCACTTAACCAACTGAGCCACTCAGGCACTCAGTAATACGTAATTTTAATTCAGTTTATATAGCTCACATGTTCTGCTTTGTTTTCCATGAGAATCTAGAGATGTCAGCTGAACTATTCTAAAGTGCTTGGGAAACCCTTCATTTGATTTGAAAGGAATAATGAGACATTCTTAAAACGGAATTTTGTAATTTCCCATATGGCTATTTTACAGTGTGTAAAGTGTTTTGGATTTGTTGGGGGATGGTACAGATTACATGTAATTGAAAAACGATTTGGAGAGAGAGCCAAAGTCTTCATTCCCTCATGAAGCTTATTTTAAGACCTGCATTTTTATTCTGTCTGGATTTGTTTTTGGAGTGGTCTAGAAAGAGCATATATACAGTGGGCCTTTGAACAAAATGGGTTTGAACTGCATGGGTCCACTTATATGTGGACTGTTTAAGTAGTGTAAATGTATATTTTATTCCTTATGATTTTTTAAATAAAATTTTCTTTTCTCTAGTGTACTTTATTATAAGAATACAGTATATAATACATATAACATTTGAAATATATGTTAATTGACTTTGTTATTGATAAGGCTTCTGGTAAACAGTAGGCTACTAGTAGTTAAGTGTTGGAGGAGTCAAGTTGTATGTGGATTTGACTGTAGGGGGTGGGTGGTGCCGTGCCCCTAATAACCCTAAGGGTCAACTGTATAAACCTCATTGTTCATTATTTGCATTTTTGTACTTTATAAAAATGCTCAGTTATGAGATGATAACCACTATGAATATAAAACTGAAATTTCTACTATTTTCATAACCTTTGTCACAATGCTCAGTCATATGCAGAGAAATCCAAAAAACTAAATTAGACTTAATTGTATTAAAATCTAATCAGTAGCTGTCTCATGGTCTCAGTAAAACTGGATGTTCCTTTATGTTTGTCTACTTTTCCTTACTATTTGGGAAGATGCTTGAGAGCAGGCTGAAGGACAGGTGGTGGGGAGGCCATGGTGTTGGGGTCACTTTTCCCCAGCCCAGTTCTTGTACATAACAAGTGTTGTGAGAAATTTGTTGAATGGATGGATGAATGATAAAGCATAAGAATGGGTTTCCTTCTTTTTAACAGATGGTTAAATCTATTACTTAGAACTTTGTTCCAATCACAACATTAGAGTAGCCTTTTAGAAATAACACAATTTAGAATAAAGCTTTAGCAAAAATTAATCCTTACTGGGCAATGGATGTATCTTTTTGGAGAAGTGAGTTCTTGGAACTCTGGGTATGTCTTGATTAATGTCTTTTCTGTGATTGATATTAAAACCTCTCGGAAACAAGAAGGGGGACTTTCATGAGACTTTACACTTTTAGATTGTTTTCTGACAGTCATACTTCCGCTAGTGTGTGTTTTTTTTTTAAAGATTTTATTTATTTATTTGACAGAGAGAGAGATAGTGAGAGCAGGAACACAAGCAGGGAGAGTGGGAGAGGGAGAAGCAGGCTTCCTGCGGAGCAGGGAGCCCGATGCGGGGCTCGATCCCAGGACCCTGGGATCATGACCTGAGCCGAAGGCAGACGCTTAATGACTGAGCCACCCAGGCGCCCACCGCTAGTGTGTTCTTAAAACCACCCCCTGCTCAGTATGTTAACTGCAGTGTAAAGAAAAAGGGTACTGAATTAAACACACACAAAGAAGTGAACACTACTACTAAAACTGAGGAAAACTGAATAGACAGGTAAATTGTATCAATGTCAATATCCTGGTTGTAATATCGTACTACAGGTTTACAAGACATTATCACTGAGGAAAAGTGGGTATTGGGTAAAGGGTACACAGGATCTCTCTGTATCATTAATTACAACTGTATGTGAATCTACAATTATCTCAATAAAAATTTCAACTAAAAATAAAAAATCATTCAGTACAGCTGCACATTCTCATGGAAGAATCCCGTAATAATAATAGCAAGGGTGGTTTTTTGTGTGTGTTTTTTTTTTAAAGATTTTATTTATTTATTTGACAGAGAGAGAGATAGCGAGAGCAGGAAGGATCCCTCCTGTTGCCTCTTTATAACCACACCCACTTCCCTCACATACTATTCCGGCCCCTCATCCATAACTTTGGACAACCACTAGTTTGTGATTCATTTCTTAAATTTTGACATTTCAAAAATGTTGCATACATGGACTTAAAACATTATATAAACTTTTGGCATTGACTTTTTTACTCAGTAGAATTCCCTTAAGATTCATCCAGATTGTTGCATGTATATCACTTTGCTTGTTTAATTGCTAAGTATTCCATGGTATGTGTATGTCACCTTTTATCCATTCATCAGTGGATGGACCTTTGGGTTGTTTCTACTTTTTCACTATTATCAATAAAACTGCAGGGCGCCTGGGTGGCTCAGTCGTTTAGTGTCTGCCTTCGGCTGAAGTCATGATCCCTGGGTCCTGGGATCGAGCCTCGCATCAAACTCCCTGCTCAGCAGGGAGCCTGCTTCTCCCTCTCTCACTCCCCCTGCTTATGTTCCCTCTCTCGCTGTGTCTGTCTCTGTCAAATAAATAAATAAAATCTTAAAAAAAAAACCACCAAAAAACTGCTATGAACATTCTTTTTTTTTTTGCTATGAACATTCTTGTACAGGTTTTAGTGTGAACAGAAGTTTTCATTTTCCTGGGATAAATGCCTAGGAGTACAATTTCTGGGTTGTATCATAATTGCCTGTTTAGTTTTAGAATGAACCACCAAATTGCTTTTTAGAGTGACTGTGCCATTTTATGTTCCTCTGCATCCTTGCCAGTATGTGGTTTTGTCACTTTTTTATTTTAGCCATTCGGAGAAGTTTGTAGTGACAGCTCATTGTTTTTTTAATTTGTATTTCCCTAATGTTTAATGATCTATTCTTGTGCTTATTTGTCATCCTTTTTGGTGTAAAGCTGGTTCATGTCTTTTGCCCATGTTCTAATTGGATTGTTTGCTTTTTTACTATTGTGTTTTGGAAGTTTTCTATGTATTTTAAATACTTTATCACATGTGTGGTCTGCAAATGTGCTTGCCCACACCATGGCTTGTCTTGTCCTCTTCACAGGGTTTGTGAGAGAGCGAATGTTTTTAATTTTGCTGATGTCCAATTTATCGGTTTTCTGTTTTCTCCTATGTATAGTGTTTTTTGGTGTCCTGTCTAAGAACTATTCACCAATCCCTAGGTCCCAGAGTTTTTCTCCTGTGTTTTTTAAATTAAATTAAATTTTTGAGAGAGAGAGAACATGTGTGCAAATGGCAGGGGAGGGCAGAGGGAAAGTGAGAGAGAGAAAGAGAATCCCTAGCCCGGGTGGCTCAGTCGGTTAAGCATCTGCCTTCGGCTTGGGTCATGATCCCAGGATGGGATTGAGCCCCATGTCAGGCTCCCTGCTCAGCCGGAAGCCTGCTTCTCCCTCTCCTCCCTGCTTGCACTCTCTCTCTTGCTATCTCTGTCTCTCTCAAATAAATAAAATATTAAAAAAAATATTATGGTATTATCATAAAATAGATGATTTCTGGGTCTGGTTTGAAAAGATAAATTTTGTGTTATGACTGTATTTTATCTTTACCAATCAAATAATTCTTATACTTTAATTTTTAGAGATTTGTGATTACAGATGATATATAATAACTTGTTTGCTTTATATGTTTTTACTTAAATGGGCTTTTTGTGGTATTAAGGGCATTTACCAGTCTATTAGAGGTAGCAAAGATTTATTCTTACTAATAAAGTGCTATATATACAACCAGGTAAGTATACTCAGCTACATTTTACATAATGGAACAGAAGTTTGAATATACTTAATCTCTTTTTGGGCTACAGTGAGGATCTTGTTCTTTGTTGTATGTACAGGTTACTCTGCTGCTGGAGGGTCTCCTGTAAATAAGCATCACCTCAGGTCCATACCAGCTATCGTGATCCTAAACAGTATCTTACATGGTTTAGTTTGTCTTTGAGCTATCACTGACTCCTGCTGTCCCCAGTGCATTTGGTCACTTGTTAGTTCAGTGAACACTGAGTGCATATTATTTGCAAGGCAGGGTGGTAGATGTTGGAGAGTTGCTGATGAAGAAAACTAGTCTCTGCCTTGGAAAGATTTTACTAGGGTAAAAAATAATCAGGCAAATATGATACCATATAACTAAAGTGTGGTGATTGAGCCCTACAGGAACAGACAGAATGGTCCCCTAACTTGACTGGGATTTGGGAGTCTGGTCAAGAAGGGCTTTCTTAAAGGAGGGGATATACTGGAAATCTGAATGTTAAGAAGGTGAATGAATCTGTGTTAGCAAAGTGGCTGGGAGGCCCATCCTGGCAGGAAGTGAGCATCCTTGTCATTTAAGAAAACGATG